CACTTCACTAGGTCGCCACACCCCTATTTAATTTATTAATTAAATTATAAGATAAATAAAAAAAATAGTAATTATATATTGAATAGTAAAAGGTTAGTAGAAGATAAAAAAATCAAAAACAAATGATAATTTTGAAAAAAAGTTGTTAAAAAGTGGTTTAATAATAAAGATAGAATAATTAATTATTCAAATAATATAGTTAATAAAAAAAATATGAGTTTAAAAATAAAAATAATAATATTAGTTTAGTTATATTAAAAAAAAATTTTGTAAAAAATAAATTTAAATAAGATCAAGTTAAATTAATAATATTAGATTAATTTAGTTGTAAATAAATAATTGTAATTAACATTCTTTAATAGATTTATTTATATATAGATAATATTATTTTATAAACAAATTTTTAGTTATTTGCAATAGTAATTTGTTTTAAAAAGATTATATTGTTATTTCTAAGACTATTAATAATATAGATTGGTTTAGTTGTAAGATTTAAATAAACTATATTCTTTAGTAAATTTATTTGTATATAGATAAGTATTATTTTATAAAAGAATTTTTAATTATCAGCAGTAATAATTTGTTTTAAAAAGATAATTTTAATATTTCTAAAACTTTTATAATAGATATAAATAAATTAAAAAAAAAAATATCATAAATAGTATAAGAGTTTTTTAATATTAATAAAAGTACAAAGAATTAATTTAAAAGAAGATATTATTTAAAGCTAATTGAAAAAGATAAAAGAGTAAAGTGTAGTTTTGTGTTTTATAATGAAAATTAATTAAATATTAGTTAAAAATTAGAGTAATTATATTTTAGTAAACCAAGTTATTAACTACTAATATTTTTAAGAATTGGCAATATATAAAAATATATTAATATTAACTGTACTAACTTTTTAAATAATATTATTAAAAGTTAACAATTAAAGATAAATAAATTGATAAGTATTATAGTATTAGTATTTTTTGCTAAAAATAATATTTTTTTAATATAAATAATAAAGAAAGAAAGAAATTTAAATTGTGTATTTGTATAAATTAAAATAATTTGAAATAGCTATTTTAATAAAGGTTGTAAAATTAAATTAAAAAATAATATAATTTATGAGAGTTTTACTTTTTGTGCTAGATAAGAATAAGAAAATTTTTAATTTTTGTTTTAAATTTAATTAAGAATTGAATTAGACAAGTATTTGTTATTATAAAAAATACAAAATATTATATTATATTTTAAGATTTTTTAAAAGTAATATTTTGATAATTTATTATAAGAATAAAAGTTAAGTTTGTTAAAAATTTAAATTTAATATAAAAAAGATCAAATTTAATAAGATTAATTTTTATCTTATTAAGTTTGTATAATATAAAAATATTATTTATAAATTAAAGAGAGTATAGAATTATAATAAATTTTCTATAATAAAGATAAATAAGTTTAATTTTATTATATAAGATTTGTATAAATAAATATATAAAGAAGTTTTTTAAAACTACAAAGTTTGATTTAAATTATAGATAATGTTATCTAAGCTTTAATTTTTGTATATAATTTTTATTTTGTATTTTACAATTTAAGTAAAGGCTTGCAAATTGCTTATTTTTAAGGTCTGGTCTAGTTTATATTTAAGCTTAAAATTTTTTTATCAATTTGGCTTGGTCTGTATAAATTAAATTTTTTTTTTAGTCTAATCTGATCCATAAAATTTATTATAAAATTTTGTAAATTTTTTAGTTTAGTCTGGTTTATAATTATAAAATTTTGTTTTAAGTCTAGTTTGATTTATAAGAATTTGTAAATCAGACCAGATTAGATTACAAAACCCAATGCAAGTCTTTAAATCTAAGTATATTTTAATATATAGTATATTAATATATATAATTAAAATTATTAATAAAAATATAAACAAAACTTTATCTTAATACAAAAAAAACTACAAAGTTTAGATTTGATAAAAGATTATAACTAAAAATATTATTATTTAATCAATTTGTAGTTAGGATATAATAATTTAATAAAATAAATAAGTTGTTAATTTTTTAAATAATAAATTATGAGTTCAAAATTTATTAATATTAAAAATTTGAATAATTATCTATATAATATATAAATAATATTATAGCAACAACATTCTATTAATTAGTTAAAATAAAATATCTATATTATTATAACTAGCAGGTCATAGAACATCTATATAAACTTGATTATATAGAGAAATATAAACTGGTATCAAGTAGTACAAAGTTAAGATAAGTCCTTGTAACTATATAAATTTATAAAACTAAAAAAAAACTAAAATCTATTTGAAAAGATTTGAGTAAAGAAATAACACAGATCTTTAATAGTATTATTATAAAAACTAGATCTAGAAATAAATACTAATGTAAAGAAATTAGATAGACAAGAATCTTTAGATAAGAGATGCTATTAACTAGACTGTCAAGTTGAATCAGAAAAAAAATATTAGACTAGACTCAATATATTAAAAACAGGTTATAGTTCTTTTAAGCTAGCTAAATTAGAAGTTTAAGAACAAAGCAAAAGTATACTAAAATACTAAGGATATACTGTAAAATAACTACTAAGGTACAGATAAACTTTATAAGAACAAGCTTTTGTTAATAGTCTGTAAAGTGAGTAAATAATTAATAAGAAGACTTGTTGAACTTTATTGATGTCATACTTTGAAATTTGTAATAACCTGAATATCAGTTTAAAAAGAAAAGATACAGAGTTACTTTGATGGTATATTGGTAAAGTATATACAAAAGATTTATAATAGTTAAATAATTAACAAGACAGATGATCAGAAAATTTAAATAGATAATTTCCTAGTAGATTATAGGTATAACATCTAATGTAGAACTATAAAGTAAACTACTTAAAATAGGTAACCAAATGTTGCATGTATGACTAGCTGTATTCTCATCTCTGTAAAAATAGTTGTAATACTAACTCCAATATATGTTAATAAAATAATTACTACAAAGTATAAGTCAAAGTCAATCATTAATCTCAAACACTTGATTTAAATAAATGTGATGTGATTGATGATAACGAATTAAATTACTATATGTTATCGAATAAAGGCTACATACATCCTTTTTTTTTTGGTTTGATTTTTTTTAGAAGCAAAGACAAAAGTAATAATTAGTAGTGTTAAAGATAATAATTTTTAGAACTGTATAATTAATTTATTAAATTAATAAAAATTAGAGTTCCAAAATTTTTAACAAAATATATGGTATAGTGTGGAATATTTTATGGATGCACTAGAATAATAAAATTATTATATATTTGTGAATATAACCAATTGGATTAATTGACAATATTGTTCGTAAATGTTTTTATTTGCAAATTTAAGTCATTAAAACATAGGTATAATTTTATCTGACTCTTTAGTTTAAGTTTCGACTTCAAATTTTGTAATATAATTAATCTGGTTGGCGCAATTTACTTCGTTGTACAAAATTAACCATTTTAGACCTTAACGTTAACGTTAAATAAATTTGAATTTGCTATATAAAATTCATGTTTTATAATAACCAATATATTTGATATTATCGAAGTTTGTCGATTATCAATCTTTTAAATTCAATTCGACTGTATCAATTTCGCAAGTTAAATTTATGTATTTGTATATAAAAGGTTTAAAATTATGCTGGATGAATTAACATTCTTTATTAAATTTTAGAAATACGCATAAATGAAAATACCGAATACGATAATTCTGAGGGTCATTTTTTACAATAACAAATAACGGATGCACATATGAATGTAAATAATACCACAGTTTAAAAAAAAAATGCTAATATGTAATATTAAAGTTAATACAACTAATTATTCTATTAAAGTAATGTTTATCAATGCATCAACAATTATACACTCGTTCCTTTTTTTTTTTTTTGTAGTAAAAAATTCTTCTTATTAAGTCTCATCTTTTTTAATAATTTGAAAAATTTCATACTCATCCACACAAAACCTGCATTCATTTGTAATGCTGCACTCATAAGAATTAGCTTGCGTCCAACAATTATAATCTTTGTTAAACTGATCTTTCATTTCTAAATCACTTGATCCAAATACTGGTCCGTATAATTTACCATGAAATATCGCTCTATTTGCATTACAACTTTTTATACGGCTTAATATGACATTTTTTACACTTGTTCCATTACCAAGAGAGAATAAAAAACTATCTTCTGTATGTCCCCAAGTGTCCTGTCCTTTCCATCCGACTGGATTATAGCCTCCAATAATTTGATCTGTTCCTTTAATCCTTAACACTGCTACAGATGGTCCTTTTTTATCACATTTTTTGTGAAATACTGGTGGTGTAAACCCATCACGTGATCCGCGTAAAAGTAACTTGAATTCATAAATATCTTGACACGCACATGGATTACCATCATTTTTATCAATCCTATTATTAAAAAAAAAAAAAAAAATAGTAACAAAAATAAAATAAAATAATAATAAAATATAGATAGGTAAGTAACCATTTTAAGAGTGCTTGAAAAAGACATGTCTTCACAAACCTCTGGATTGACATAAAAAATTTCAATGATAAATGATCCAGGACTAGCTTGACAGACTTTGATTTAAACCAGAAGCATGAATATTCAATCCGAACTGAAAGTTTGTGAAGCTCATTAAAATCTAGATATATATATATACCAATGTGAAATTATTGCTACATGTTTTGAATTGATAAGAGCATTTGGATCCAATTTTGTTGCAGGAAAACGAACAGGGGAAATGGCAGACGTTACTGGAGCTCCAGGAACCATATAATATCGTACCATTTCTTCCACTATCTTTTCAGGCAAAATAGTCTTATATGGCCATACTTTGTAATAAAAGTCAATTGATGAAATTCCTGTAAAACCAACAAGAGAAATACAATGACTTAAAGTATTTTTTAAAGTGTTAAAATCGTCAAATGACCATTCAAATATTTGCCGATCTCCAAGTTTTGGAGTTTGAGCCATTCCCCATTTAATTAAACTATTCCATACTTCAATTTCTTGCATCCAAAGGTCACCTCTTTTTAAAAGATAAATGATAATATCTTCATTTAAATATGAGAGATCATCTGAACCAAATACAAGATTTGGATCTGCGCATGTTTCATTAAGACAAAATTCCCGAAGTTTTGAACAAGAATCTTGGTTAAAAATTGCATTTAATACATGAACAATATTCTTTTGTAGCCATTCAGTTTCTTTTGTGAGAAGATAGTCTTGTACCAGTGTGACATATTCTCCTAACATTAATTCATCTGCAGCGACTAAAAGACTAAGCACATTTACATTGGGATCATTGGGATTCGCATTAATTATTCCTGTGTAAATATATCTGTAGAAGAATTCAACATGATTATTATTAAATACAATGACAATTACTTTTAACGAATCAACTTACTTGAGAATCAAATCAAATACTGATGGCGATATATTAGATTTTTTAAAAACTATAAGATTTTCTTCCTTTTTAGCCCAATTATTTGACAAAGCCGCACGAAAATATGGACATCGAACGCGTAAAATAGCTGAATGTACTTTAAATGATTTTACATTAGGTTCTTCACCAACTTGAATGATGACATTATAATCATCTTCATTCTGAAGAAGTAAGGCAAGATCGCGGGAAAGTCCAAGTAAGAAATCAGACGTCATTGAAATAGATGAGATCTTTTTTCAAAAGAAAAATCCCAAAAAAAGTGTAATATTTATCAACTTTTTTCTTCCATTAATGGATGTGTTGCACTAATTTATACGTATTATCAATAATTAAAGAAGATCAAGTCACATGTGACAGAACCAATACACATAATTCATGGTATATTCGTTCCTAATGAAGTGTTTTTTTTTTACGCTAATTTTTAATAAAAAGGAAATAACGCCAAGATTCCAAAATTGTTACTCTGATCAATTCCTGTTTAAAGTTGTAGAATTTGCAAACCTCAACATAAAAGTTTTTTTTTGTCCCTGATTACTATCCATCCAAAGAAATGATATTCGAGATAAGAAAGAAAATCCACGAAATAGTAATTAAAAACAATAATTACGTACCAATGAAACATTAACATTAATAAATTCTTAAATTTCTTGATATAACCTGATATTGTTAATGGCTTGTAGTCATTACTATTTTTAAGAATTCTCAACATTTAACGTTAACGTTAATGCATTTGTTTTTTCTCAGAGGAAAAAAAAAGAACCTGTAACAAGATATTTGGAGATCAGTAGTTTATGTAATAATGAACTGCGTCACAATTCCACGTGAGATTTTATTTTAATTTTTGACCTATTGCTAATGCTTAAAAAAGTAAGCTTCAGTAATCAAATGTTCTCAGGTGATTATTTTTTAACACAGCCATTTGGCTTATTCTTTGATTTTAAGGCTTTGAACCTTAAGAATTGTCCACGTGGCAATCGGCTAATTTAATGCGTTCTTAAAATCAAACTTGTTAGAATAACAATAGTCATGCAAGAAAGTTAAAAAAAATTTTTTGCGGTAGAAAGAATCAAATCTTACATTGTGTAACGTTGTCAATTTTTCCTTGAAGAACAAATTGGGAGATAAATAATAAATAAATCAGGGCCTTTTAGATAATGTTTTATCGAACGCTAGTCAGAATTCTTTGAGTTAGCTTGTCGAACAAATATGAAATATATTTTAAAATCCCTAATCCTAGCATTAGGGTTTGCTTTCGCTTTCCTTAAAACCACGAGCGCAGCTGGTGGTTTGTACCTAAAATTTCTTTTTATTCCATTAATCGGTTACTTTTTTTAAAGTATACTCGAACAAATATTGTTTTTATTTGTCTAATAGCTGCAGATCATTTTGTACGTACTTTACCTGGTCTTCCCGACGATGCAAATCTTAAACAACACGCCGGGTAAGAATCATTAAGTCTGCCTCTTTTTTATGTTGTAAAAGAAGCTTGAATGCTGATTAACGTAAATAATTAAATCGCATAGGCATATTACAATAGATGAAAGCACTAATTCGAATATATTCTTCTGGCTAATGCATAATCGTCACATTAGCGATAAATCGAGACTGGTAAGTGATTTGTTTAATTAGATCACGCATATATTTTATAGATTATTTCATTCTCCGCCGATTTTTTTTTTTTTTGATTTAGATCATATGGCTTAATGGTGGTAAGTATATGCTAGATTATTAAATTATATACAATAATTATTGGGGTTTCTAATGGCTCATTTCCTTAAAGGTCCTGGATGGTAAGTCGAATTATAGCGTTTAACGCTCATAGTATATTGGCATTTATTCTTAATCTGGCACATAATTATTTAGTTCGAGGTGAGTCATTTATTTTTTTTATTAAATTGAGTAGTTATCAAGGCTTTTTTATAATTATTAAATTAAAGTCAATTTTAAAGTATGGATGGTGTATTTCTTGAAAATGGTCCATGGAGAATAAACAGTGATCAAACTTTAAAAATGATTGATGGTTCATGGATTGAGTTTGCTAATGTACTTTATGGTAATTCTAGATTTCATTTTTTCCCTTTATTCCTTTGATTTCATTTCATTTTCCTCTTTCTTTGATTATTTCATCTTTTTTACTTGATTTATTTATTACAATATAGTTGATCAGCCGGTTGGCACTGGTTTTAGTTATGTAAATGCCACAGGTTATTTAAGAAACGTATCGCAGGTTAGAATATTATTATTTATAAAATGATCATTTGTATTTGATGGTATAAATTATATATATCTATATTGTAATCACAATAGGTTCCTGGACAATTTTTAACTTTTCTCGATAAATTCTTTGAAATATTTCCAGAATTCAGTAAGGATGATGTAAGTAAACCAAATTATTTTATAGACGTAATATAATGACAACTAGAGTTTTTAATCTTTTACTATCATCAAGATGTATCTTGCTGGAGAGAGTTTTGCGGGCACTTTTATACCTTACATAGCCGCTGGAATATTGAAACGAAATAATGAAACAACAACTACATTTGATAATTATGTAAGGAAATGATAATCTTAAAAACGTTTAGTTTAAGTATCATTTTACATTATTCATATTGATGTAAATATGTTTATAACAAAGTACAATCTCAAAGGCATAGCAATTGGCAACGGATGGATTGATCCTATCCCACAGGTATGGTGCTAACATTCGGTCACCTGAAAGTATTGCACAATTTTATTAAATATACTTTCAGGAAGCTTTTACCATAATATAGCATCGTCTTTAATTAATTTAATTGATTTATTGCTATCTTTTTATAATTCACAAAAATTGGGAAAAATATTAGTACAATGCGTATTATACCTTTGCGATAAAACATAATCTAATACATGATGACTACAAGGTATAATAATAATAATAATAATAATAATAATAATAACATATAGAATGATATCTGTTATTTTGTAACTAATTTAAGTTGTAATGTATAGAAAACTGCCGAGAGTCAGCTTGCAAGTTGCATGGCTGCTGAAAATCAGAGCTTTACTATTCATCAGGACATGTGTGAAGAACTCCTCATGACGATTCTAAGAAGTTCTCGTACAGTGTATTTATCATTATCTATTATTATTTATAATTCTTTTGTACATATTCAAAAATTAAAATGTTTCTTAGTGTTGGAAAGAAGGTGACATGTTTAAATCAATATGATATTCGAGATTATAAAGATACGTATCCTTCTTGTGGACTCGGATGGCCTTATGAGCTCCCAACTATTTATGAATATTTAAAGGTAATAATATAATTCGTTACGTATATTATTAGGCTAATAAACCCTAATTCGAACAAATTTTATTACTTATCAGCGAGCTGATGTCTTAAAAGCCATTCATGCTGAAGGCAAAACTGACGATTGGGTAGAGTGTAGTCCGTCAGTAAGTCGTGGTTTTACTAATGATCCGAGTCCACCTTCTGTTTTGGTACGTTAATTATTTGCATATATTTAAAGTTTAGTTTATTCAACAGTAATGATACATTAAAATTTGTTTGTAACGTTTAGTTATTGCCATCTATTTTAAAACAAATCAATGTTTTATTGTATAGGCATGTATATTTAATTATTGGGTTTTTATTTTATTGTTTATTAAATTTCATATTGTGTTTAAATAGTGGTGATCAAGATCTCATTTGTAATCATGATGGTACTGAAGCTATGATTAAAGAATTGGAATGGAACGATGCAAAAGGATTTCAGGTTTGTTTAAGTTATTCATATAATTATTTTTGAAATATTATTCACAATTACTATAGTTAACTAATTGTGATGTGTTGGAAATGATATTTAGAATTCTACTACAACACCTTTATCCCTTAACAATACTGTTTATGGGCATATGATATCAGAGCGAAATCTCACATATATAGTTATCTACAATGCCAGTCATATGGTACCTTACGACGTGCCAGTACAAAGCATGGATATGATGTATCGATTTATGGGAGTGAAACCACAAACAATAATGTTTCCATCTGGAACTACATATAATGTAAAAAAAAATTCATAATCGAATATTAACTATTGACGTTCTAATATTCTTATTAACTTTTATCGATACATTCTAGATTAACTTTGAATCTACCGTAACTTCGAACACACCTATACCTCCAAGTGCTAAAATTGTGCCTCATGAAATTTTGGATCAATATTACAATGCGTATATATCTTTTTATTTCATACATAATTTTGAGTGAAACGATAACGATCATTATTAATTTTATTAAATTTAATGAATATAGTGGAACTATTACGCTTATAATTGTTATTTGTGGAGTTGTTTCCCTAGCAGCCTTTTTATACCGCGGAAGACTGAAACGTAAAAGGAACATTAGTCAAACAATGAAAGCTGTCGTTGAAAGTTCAAATAATGAAATGTACTATTTATTGCTTGTTTTATTATTATTATTATTATTTTATTTTATTATTAGTAAAATTCTTTCCTTTTTGTTGTAATTGTTATTAACTTTATGTTTTTCACAAAAATTAGGGATGAACTTGTAATAGAAACACCTCTATTTCAGTCAGATAATGTTGATAATTTTGGGGATAGTGAAGACGAGGAATCTAGGATGCACAACAATCAGGATAGATATGTTGATTAGAGTGTGGAATCGATGAATAATTATTCGATCATCGATCAAAATTTTCGAATACCGAAATAAGTTTTCATTCATTGAGTTTTTAATTCGGTCATTCATCGAATATATCGATTAAAATTTTAATAATGTAATAGTGATAAAATAAACTGTCTTCTGATGGTGATAAATCTTTTGATTTAAAATAGAATTTTATATAAATTGATTTAATAAATAAATATTGATTTAATAAATAAATATTGATTTAATAAATCTTTCAAACCAAAATATGGAATTTAATTTGGTATTAAATGAAGATACCACATCTTCTGCTAATGCTCCTCTTTTGATAATGAAGAGGACGAGTCTAATTGTATTAATGCTTCGACTTATTGATAGTTTTAAAAAACAAAAATTAGAAATGCGTGGTAGGTCTAAAAAACAATCCTGGGTTTGGTTCGATCATAGGAACTAATAAAGATGGTCAAGAAACCCAATACGGTGAATGTCACATTATGAATGATGGCAATATACAACGTGCTCAAAGAATCAAAATGTGGGTGGATCAACTTCGAACCTTATTTATCATCTTTCTTCAAATCATGGAGTCACGGTAATGTTTCGCAAATTAATGTTATTTATTTATTATATTTGATTATAATTTTTGATTTATTTTCTTTATTTTTATTAGGATGGTCAAATTAATATTGCTAAAACTCATTCGAAAGCAAAGAAAAAATTTCTTATTCGATCTTTATTAAAACTCCTCATTCGTATGCTTGACGTTAGATTTATGGACAGCACGAAATCGACAAGGAATTACGTGTTTGTGGATAGATGAAGGCTTTAAAATACATGAAGCACTTCTTACTTTAGTTTATTTTAAAATATCCACATATGGCAATTAATATTTATAATGCTATCGATCATTAGATTAAATATTGCAGAAGAAGCGAAGATTGTAGCTCGTTCTTGCTTAATTAAAGTGGCTTTAAAGATATCGATCTTGAAAACGTTGTTAAAGATATCGATCTTGATAACGTTGTTAAAGATATTGATCTTGAAAACGTTAAAGATATCGAAAGTTTTTGTCTCTGTTTAAAACGCACTTCAACTTGTAATTGGCAAAGGTAGTAGTTAAATCACCAGTCAAAAAATTTCGCTAGCCAATCAGATTTCAATATCTCGTGTAACGCAAAAAAATTGCAAAAAAAATCAAAACAACAAAAAAACGCTCGTATCTCAAAATTTTGCCTATGAAAGTGCCTTCTGCGTACTAACAAAAAAATTTCCTCGTGAAATTTTAATATAACTATAACTCTTTAAACAAACATCAACCTACTAGAGGGTTCCTAACCCTAAATCAAATTGCGAACCAATCTTTTCAATAAGATCACATAGTTTTTAGTAAAGGTCTTTTACCAGCCGAAGTATTCGTAGCTCGCGCAAATTTTTTTTATAAGTCTCAAACAAAATGAGAGATTAAAGAATGCACAAAGAAGCTTATAAATTCCGGAAATAAATGTAAGAATAAAGAATTTTTACTGATATCCGAAAATCGATCAACCGATAGAGGCCTGCGTTGGGTCCCGCAGCCGGGCCTAAAGCAAAATTTTATAATTGCGGGCCGGGCCGGGCCGAAAAATTTGCAAAATATTATAATTGCGGGCCAGTGCGGGCC